AAAAAAAAAGAGCCAGTGTCTCCTAGGTAACTTTTAAAACACATGTAATTGCCCTGCTTGATAAAGTAGAAGGAATTTTGAAGTTCTAGGAGGAGGAGAAATGGGTGTTGGCAAATGACCTTCAGAGTAATGGGTATAAATGAGGAATCCTGTTGAGGATAGCGAAAGGACTTTTGAGAATAAGGGTAAGAATGTCTAATATTTTGGAAATATTTTATTCCCACGACACCTGGGTGGCTCAGTTGGTTAAGCATCTGACTTCTGTTCAGGTCATGATCTCGGGGTCCTGGGATCAAGTCCTACATTGGGCTCCACACTCAGCTGGGAGTCTGCTTCTCCCTCTCCTTCTGCCCCTCCCCCTCTCCTGACCCTCCCCCGATCCTGCACGTTCTCTCTCTCTCAAATAAATAAAATCTAAAAAAAATTTTGTTTCTTCTGCTATGTTTCAATGTAAACACCTATTCTGTTGCTCTGAAATCTTTAGAGAAGGCCGTCACACATGGGTACAGCAGCACATGCCCACACCCACACAGAGTGAATGTCCATTGTCCAGGCCCCACCCCTGGAAATCCTATTTCAGGAGGTTCAAAGTGAGGCCCTGATATCAGTACCTTAAACCTTCCCCAGACCATTGTGGCAAGTGGCCAGGTTTGGTCCCACTGATTGTAGATGTTACAACATCTTTAGACGATGTTCATCACAATCCATCCCATTGACATCTGGGCAAATTGATGTTGGGGAACATAAAGTCAATGGTAAAACTGGGTTTTTGCAACAGGGAGAAAAAGAAAGTCTGACTCTTATTAGACCTCCCTCAGATCTACCTTGTCTTTTTCTCTTTGAGTGACTCTGAAGGAAGATATAACCTTTCTGAAATAGGACATTAGAAGACCAAGGAGGTATACAGAAAAATGAATAATAAATTTTAATAAAGAAGGCTTAATCTCCTGTAATACAAAATAGCAGAGAGGAAGTATGACCTACATAATCAACAGTCATGAGCACCAATCCAAAGATATCGTTCATGCGTCAAATACTGAGTGCCGGCTAAGAAACAGGGACTGAGCTAGGCCCTTGGAGCTCAGGGTATGGTATGGCCTCGGGAATCACAGTCTAGAAGAGACCAATAATTATAACCAGTGGGAAGAAAAATGGGAAACTACGTAAGTAGTAAATATAGACCCAGTATGCAGGGGATTAGTGGTAAGGGAAAACTTCAGAGAAGCAGAAGACAAAACCAGGCTTTTGAAAGATACAATGATCAGGGTGTAGGGAGAATGGAAGGAGAGTGAGGGGGAGGAAACAGCATTTCTTATCAGAGTGAATAGAACTGTAGGCATGGGCTTAAAGCAGCATGCATGGTACATTGCCTGAATTGTGGATGGTTCTATAAGACTGTCATGTAATGTTCTGGAGGACTTGGGGTAGGAAGAAGGCAGAGGGGTTGCCTTGCCGTATGTCAGACTCCACTCACATACATCAGCCCATTGTTCTTGGGTATTATGATGAGTTCCTAGAGTGTCCATAAAAAGTTAGCCAAGAGATGGCCAACAAGCCTTGCTAGCCTAAAACAAAAGACGTATGATCCCTATTTGTCAGATTCTGCAGCAAAATCCTCTTTCTCCAGACTAATCTGCTCATATCCTCCTTATTGGTACTTGCCATGCTTTCACTGTTAGACTTCCTTTTTATTCTAGACTCTGGAATTTTTAACCTCCTTGGACATAGGCATTTATTTTTGCATGATGTTTGTGGTTGATCACACGAGCCTGAGTTCAGTGTGAATGTAATTTCAGTTTGATAAGAATCTAACTTTTCATCCCGCAGGAATTGTATCGGGCAATGTCAGTAATCCCCCACATCCCTAAGGTCACCACATAGACACCTGTTAGCTCAGGCTAACCCCCATCTCTTCTGCTGTTACCTTCCTTCAGGTGGGAACACTGGCTTTAGTTTTGTGCACTTAATTTTTATTATAAGGTATATAGTTCAAATATACAGACAAATACAAAGAATCATGTAATAAACACCCATTCACTTACTGCAGGGCTTAATCAGATCTAAACATTTTGCTCTATTTGCACCAATTGTTTTTATAAACTAAAACATTGTAGATACAGTAAGTTAAAGCTCTATCTCCCCTGAGTCTAATTCCCCTTCTCTCTTATCATTCATGGTTTTATACATTCACTACATTTATGTGTTCATAAACAACATACAGTATTGCTTTATACATTTTTAAACTTTATATAAATTATTGCATCCTTGAAGTATCTATCTGTACCTTGCATTTTTGTTGAAAATTAAGTTTTTGGGATTTATTGATGATGACACAAATAGATTTAGTTTGCTTTTTAAGACTACTTTATAACATATAATATATCGCTCTACTGAAATTTACTTTTTATTGTGTACAGGTAGACATTTGAGGTTCTTTTCCAATTTTTCAATATAATAAAGCCATAGTTAACATCCTTGTACACATTTTCATGTGCACAGATATACTGGGATTTTATTCCTTAATCACTTCTTTTACTCATATTAGTAATATTCACTATGTAGCATTTATATACATATATATGATTTATAGACATATACATATGTCTATAAACCAGCCATCCTAATTGTCTCAAACATGACATCATCATCACCTTTAAAACAGTATTATAAAATTGCACTGATGTTTTCAACTTGTAACCTCTCATTAGTCACCAGGAATTTCCCTCATGGAGATATATAAACCTTAGTTCTGAACCGTGGAATAATTTAAGGAGTAATCAAATATGAGTACAGAATTGGAGAGGAGGATAATATACCTTCAAGAAACTTGGGGTCAATTTAAGGACTGATCTTGCCCTTTTCCTGGTTCCTTGACATGTGAATGGTCAGAGTCAGCCTGAGTCACTATTCCCCTCATATGGACTGAAAGCCAGCTGACTGCAGAATTTAGTCACTGAATTTAATACGAGCTGTTGTTAAAAGCATACACATTACTACTTATTGCCCTGGGAGGAAATAAGTCACATGTGGGTTTTTTTTTTTATTTTAACTTCATTTGATTTATTAGTGGTTGCTAGATACTGAACTATATGGTAGGTGCTCTGGGATGTCCAAAGATGAAGAAGTCCTCCAGTGAACTCACAATCCTGCAAGGAAGAGATGCTTGGGAAGAGTCATCTGTCAGATTTTGGCATCTGAAATAGGCTCTTTATTTTCTCCTTTAGTGACACTCAGGAAATGCTTGTCTCCTGCTGTTGATGCATAATCTGAGAGTACTATGGATCATGCTGAAGAAAATGAAATCCTCGCAGCAAGCCAGAGGTACTATGTGGAAAGGCCTATCTTTAGTCACCCGGTCCTCCAGGAAAGACTGCACAAGAAGGACAAAATTTCGGATTCCATTGGGGATAAGCTGAAACAGGCATTCACGTATGTTGTGTTTTAACCTATTTCCTTTATCCTGTCATTCAGTTATGACAGAAGCGAGGTCAAATGTATCAAGAAAATCTGGTGCAGTGGGGAAAATAAAACAAATGGTGAGCACTTAGGATTTGCAAACTGTCCACACGGTTCACTCAGGGATAGGTATCTGATTGAACCCCGGCTTCATTATATATTTCACCCTATTTATTAAATTCTGATTATAATTGCATCCGTTTAACGGTTTATCTAAATACCCTGCTTTCCCATACTCCACCACCTTTGAAATATCCACCTCTTCTCTTCGTCTCTCAGGAATGTTCCAACCACTCTATCTTTTTTTTCCACCCCGACTTCTACCCCATTTGGCAACATCCTGAATTTAAGTCCCAACCCAGGCTGTCAAGGACACTCAATGTCCTAGGACTCCTCACTTTGGAGACGCTTACACACATGTTGCAGGCCTGGGACTGGTAATCGGTGTTGCCTGACATGTGTGTCTCTGGAGAGCTCCCTAGGTTTGATTGCTCCCTTCTGGACCCTTGGGAAGACACGTCCATGTTCTGTGTTCGTGCAAATTTCACAGGGACCCTCCGCTCTAGGTATGATCACCAGGAGAGTTTTAAAATATATTCACTGGAGTCAGACTGTCTGAGTTTTAATCCTAGTCCCAGTCACCTACCAACTGTGGGCTTGCATTCCCTGCTCTACAAAATGGGGATAATAGTACTTACATCATAGAGTTCCTGGGGGTTAAAATCTGTCAATATATGCAAAGTCCAAGGCACATGGTAAGTACCACATTAGTGTAGCTATTATTAATGTCTTAATTTTCTAAACAAGGAGATGGGCATCTAATCTAGTTTGTTTCACTGAAATTCATGGCTCTTGCCACAGTTGCCCCAAATCTCCTTCCAATATCTTCCTTCACCTGATGATCAGATACTTTTGGCCACTGAAGACATGATATAAAGTACCACGCATGCTGCAAGAATGCATTGTCTTTTGAATGGAATAAACTCCTTCCCTGCTTCCTTGTTACCCGGAGAACTTGGGGCTGTCGTGGTGGTGATGGAACCCATCTGTCCATCTCTTATTTAGTGATGTCTCTGATGATTGGCATGGACTGGCAAAAGGACTGGCCAGGGCCCAGAACATAGTCTATGTATCAAAATCAACTGAACTCTATAGGGATTAAATGCAAGGCCTGGGTTTTATCAGCATGATGTTCCACCTAATCAAGACAACCAGACACGGAATCCGCTATAACACATGAGTGAAAATGGTGTTTTGAGTTTACCTAATCAAAGATCCTAAAGCATTGACTACATATCCATAAAGCTCATAGTACTTGTATAAATTTCCTTCATTTCATAAGGACAGGGGAAACTAAATGGGCCTGCCAGTCAGTGGTTCCACATTCAAAAATTTGCTCAATCAGTAAATAATTCCCCCATTTGGTTTTTACACCAACACAGAAAGTACATTAGGATTTTATCTGCTAAAATAATAGCTTCCAAGGTATCTCAATTATTTTGAAGCTAAATTTTTCTTATTTTTCATGGTAAATTGTAGAGCATTATTATGGAGCCAATTCAGATGTTTCCCTTAAAAAAAAAAAAGTTTACAAGCAGATCTTCTTGTTTCTTTTTTTTTTTTTTAAGATTTTATTTATTTATTTGAGAGAGAGAATGAGAGAGAGCGAGTACATGAGAGGGGGGAGGGTCAGAGGGAGAAGCAGACTCCCCGCCGAGCAGGGAGCCCGATGCGGAACCTGAACCCCGGGACTCCAGGATCATGACCTGAGCCGAAGGCAGTCGCTTAACCAACTGAGCCACCCAGGCGCCCAAAGAAACTTTATTTATTATTTTTTTATAAAGATTTTATTTATTATTTGACAGAGAGAGAATGAGAGAGAGAGAGCACATGAGAGGGGGGAGGGTCAGAGGGAGAAGCAGACTCCCCGCCGAGCAGGGAGCCCGATGCGGGACCTGATCCCGGGACTCCAGGATCATGACCTGAGCCGAAGGCAGTCGCTTAACCAACTGAGCCACCCAGGCGCCCAGATCTTCTTGTTTCTGATCTCTGCAGAGTGGAAAGGTCATCCTTAGCACAGAATGTGAATTTTCCCTTATTGCTCCAGGATACGGGGAAGGGAAAATGCCTTGGTGTGAATTCTTTAGAAGTATTCCTCATTTTATCTCTGGGTTTTTTTGTTTTGTTGTGTTTTGTTTTTGTCCTCCCAGATGTACTCCTAAGAAGATACGAAATATCATTTATATGTTCCTGCCCATAACAAAGTGGTTACCAGCATACAAGTTCAAAGAGTATGTGTTGGGTGACTTGGTCTCAGGTATAAGCACAGGGGTGCTTCAGCTTCCTCAAGGTTAGTAGGTATATTTATTTCTTTGTGTCGTTTCCCTTGCCACCACCTCTTCAAACAATTGTTGCCCTTTTTTCTGTTTACTTTCATCATGATTGTAAATTCATAGTCTTTATCATATTCTAGTAACCTTTACCTGTCTAAAGGAATTCTTCAGAAATATTTAACCCTTAAAAAGCCCAGAGACAGTAGTTGTAGAATATGATGATACTAGTTCGCAGATCAGTATATTTCTAGGAACTGGCTGGGCATGGCCTTACGTCTTCCTAAGTTAGCCAGTCACTCAATGAATGTGTTGTCGGAGTTCTCCTTGTTAAGGTTCTTGACTTTTAAGTCCATATTCTAATTACAAGGGACCAGGATATGCTGAATTCCTGTACATTTCTGTGATTTTTATGTGTGATATAAGAATTTAAGAAAATGCTCATTGATTTATTCATCTATTCATACATGTTTATCAAGCATTTGCCCAGTTCTCCTTGTCCTTATGAATCTAACAATCCAATTAGGCAGAAAGTCATGAAGCAAATAAAAGCACATATCCATTTTTAACTACAAATGATGTTAAACACAATGAAGGAAAATTCAGGGTACCAGAAGATAATAATAGGGAAACCTAACTTAAGTAGGTAAGTCACAGAAACTTCTTTAAGAGAGATTTGAGTTGAGCCCTGAAGGATGAGCAGGAGGCAGGTAAGGAATGAAAGGAAATGCATTTGAGGCAGAAGGAATAGCATGTGTGAAGACACTTAGCAGGGAAAGAATTGAGTATTTGAAGACTTGGTTTGAAGAATTACTAGAAAAGCAGCTTGCTAGGGGTGTAGGGGAAGAGGGGCCGGTGGCCAGCAAGGTGGGCAGTGATAGATCTGCAGAGCCTTGTTGGCCACTTTTTGGATTCCACTCTGAGTGCACTGAAAGCCATCACCATGCTTTCACTTGGGGTTTCTTTCTGAGGGGTCATTAGGACTGCTGTTGGGGTGAAGTGGATTTGGTTGGTGGGAGGGGTACCAGAATGAAAGTGGGGAGACCAATTAGAGGTGATAGGACTCAGTATAGGGAAAAGGTGATAATGGCTTGAACAGCCATTATCTTGGTCCATTGGCCAAGAATCTATTCCCTTCTCCAGTTTCCCCAAATTAATTACCAAATGATCAATTTGTCAAGAAAAAAAAACCACTTCCCCTAATGATCAATTAGTTGCATTTTTAATTTTCCAAATGACTGGTTTACCAAATCTGTTAAACATAAGCCTTGTACCAGGTGTAGGATGGTTTTTCACATCGATTTTGGCACCAACACCCCAAGGGCAGAGAAGGAGACAGGTTCAAAGATGGGGGTGGGGGCAGGGAGGGGAGCCCACAGAGGCTCAGCATCTGAAATGGGAAACAAGTGAAACTGACATTGAATCAAGTGGGACAAAAAAAGCTACAGAAGTACTGCAGTGAAATCGTGTAAACTAATACTTCAGCGAAATCCTCAGGATTGTGCCTAATTGGGTTAAAATGCCATTCCACAGATTTATTTTTGACCTGTTAGCCATCTTCCATCTTGAACTAGGGTGGTGGTGATAAAAATGAAAAGAGTTATAAAGATACATGCTGTATTTTATGGTCAGCCAGATTGGCTGTTGGATTGATTGAGGGGAGAATGGGGAAGAAAGGCATGTCAAGAATTACTTTAAGGTTTCTGGGCTGATGAGTGGGATGTGGGGACATTGAGGAAGAAAGATGGTCAAGAATGACTCTCAGATTTCTGGTTCTAACATCTGAGGGTTGGAGGTGCCCATTGCAGATGTAATAAAGACTGCAGGAGGGAGGAATTTGAAGGGTAAATTTGAACATGTTAAATTTGAAATGCTTGTGAGATAGACAAACAGACATTGCATGTTTATATTTAAAATATGGGCTAAAGAGAGAGCTGTGGGCTAGAGATGTCAGTTTGGGGATCTTTGACATACATAAGCCATGGAAGGCCACCCAAGAAAAGAATGTGGAGTGAAAGAGAAGAGAGCCAGGATCAAGCTTTGTCCAACATTAAAGACCAAAGAAGGAAGGAGGAACCAGCAGAAGAGACTGAAAAAGAAGCATCTGGAAAGGAGAACCAGGAACCTGTGGTGTTACAGGAAGGAAGAAGGAATGATCCAGTAGGTTGAACATTAAGGGATGTAAGTCATCGCACAATCAAATTTGTATGGAAAATGTATTTTTCTGCCCATCACTAGTCAATGAAGATAGATAAATAGGAAAACCAAAATGTAGCAAAGACAGAGATCCAAGAGATAGTAAGTTAATTTCTTGTGGTTGGTAAATTATTAGTAAAAAGACTTTGTTAAGCATTGAATTAATGCATTCCTGAACTTAATTGAATACATGCTTCTTTCTCTAAATTTAAAATCCCTCTAAAATGATGGTAAAGCAGAGGGAAATGGTATAAACTAGCAAGGACAAAGAAAATGGGAGAGCAGGCACCATGGAGCAGGAAGAAAAATGGCAAGTGATAGACGAGTGACAACTGAATTATCAGAGTGGAGGAAGCTGGTATTTGGGAGTCTGCCCTGCAGAACATTGGGAAATTGGCAGCTCCAAGGATTGTCAAAGGTAAGAGTCAGGCAGATGGCTAGAAGCAAAAGGATTGGTTGAAAGTCTGTATAATAAATAGCAAGTACATGGACACCCAGGTCCCCACCAACACCACTCAGTGGATGGCAGGTGAAAGCACTGAAAGATGTCAGGAGGAATGAAGTCTACACATTGACCTCTGCACTAACAAAGGCTCTTCTTTGCCCTGTGCAGCTCCAAAGAGCCTGTGAGACCTTCAGCCCAAGGCACACGATGACCCACCCCCAGAGAAAAAAAGCGATAGTGACAACTGGGGGTTCCCCAACCAAGATGCTGGCTGGTCCCCCAGTTGCCATACAGTAAAGCTCATCAGTAAATAAAGGGGGCCAGTGCACATGAAGCTTCAAGGAAGAAAACAAACCAAAAAGAAAGAAGGACCTCATTGGGCATATAAATAATGGAGAGGGCAAAATAAAACATATTTGCCCTGTAATATTCTCAGCAAGTCATGAAAACATATTGAATCCATGAGATAAGAACAGGATGTGATTTTAAAGATTTTATTTATTTCAAGAGAGAGCTTGAGCAGGGGAAGGGGCAGACACAGAGGAGAATCTCAAGCAGTCTCACACTGAGCACAGAGCCCCACGCAGGGCTCCATCTCATGACCCTGAGATCATGACCTGAGCCGAAATCGAGTCAGGTGCTTAATCGACTGCGCCACCCAGGTGTCCTGGGATGTGATTTTTAAAAGGAGCCTTCAGAGAACAAGAAAGAGCTCATAGAAATTAAAAATATGATAGCTGGAATAAAACATTCAGTCAAATGGGTTGGAAGATAGAGGAAATCTGGAAGTAGAAGAAAAAGATGAATACGTGCACAATAAGAAAGGCAAGAGGAGAACACGAGAGGATCGGTCCTGGTGTCCCGTCATATATCTACTGGCAGTTCCAGAAAGAAGAGGTTAAACAGAACAAAAGAGACTATCAAAGAATATTTTCAGAATTGAAATACGTGAGTTTTCAGACTGCGAGAAACCACCAGGTACCCAGCAGAAGAAATAAAAAATAAAACGAGGCACACCATAATAAATATCCGAATACCAGGGTTAAAGAGAAGATCTCAAAACTTCTTAGAAAGGAAAAAAAATCACATATTATGATATAACTAAGTGGAAGCTGAAAAAATAGGAAGTCAGTAGTTAACATCTGAAACTGATAAACTGAGAATAATAATGCCAACACATTCTTTAGAGCAAGGTCTCTCAGCCCTGCACCATACCAGGAACAGCCCCCATCCTCAGTCATTCATGATAACAAAAAATGTCTCCTGACATTGCCAGATGTCCCTGGGGTGGGGGGGGCGGGGGGAGCAAAAGCCTCTTAGTTGAAAACTGTTGATTTAGATAAATGAGATAAATGGTAGAAAAACAGCTAAACTAGTTGGAAGTGAGCGCCTCTGGGGAGCAGAACCTGGAGGTAAGGCAGAAGAGAGCCCGCTTTTCTTCAGAGCCTTTTAGTACTGCTTGGCTTTTTAAACTATAGGCATGCGTTCCTTTGAAATAAAAATAAAAAATAGAAATTTGTTTTTTAAAAAAAGACAACATTAAAATGACCATACTATTATGGAATAGGGATGCTTCCCCAGCTCTTCTTTGGCTAAAATTTTTTTCTTCATGACATGACAATGCATTAAGTGAATTTTGTAGTTGTCCCAGACATTTGGCTGAGCCCTCTGAGCTGAGAACAAGGGGTGTTTATTGTCTCCACATTCTGAAGAGGATGCCAGACCATCTATGCAAAACTATGAGTGAATGACACCAAACCGTCTCTTTAGTGCATCACTTCAACAGGATATATTTGGGGACCAGGGATATGATAGTAAATTTGGAGTGAGAATTTTCTAGAGAGAGGTGAGCACTATACATTTCCCCTCCACCTAAAGTCAAGGTAGGAGTGACTGCAAGAGAACCACTCAAGAGCACTGAACACATGTCCTCTGGAGTTTTGGGGGGATTGTTGCCTAATTCTTGCAAGAAAAAAAAATCTACAGGTAAAAGGGTGTAAACTGCCCATGTAGGCAGAATGGAAAGCCCTCCAGTGGGCGTGGCCTGCACTTCCAAAGCTTCTTGTAAAGGTGCCAAGCTTTCCCATTGGGTAAGTGGGTGCTCTGGAAGGTAATGAGGCTTGGCTCATTTGAAAGGTACCTGCCCAAGAAGACTGCCTAGGGAGGAACATATGCCCGCAGAGAGAACTTGGAAGAGGTGTAAGAACTGGGAACTGGGAGTTCCTTATTGAAAAGGGATCCCCAACAGACCCACAGAAACACCCTGGTACAGAAACAGCCAGCATTTGGCCATCAACACGGATTATAGCTACACCAGTCAAGTAAGACTTTCTGCCCTTATTTAGGTTGGGAAAGAATAAAACAGAAAAATGTCCACCCCTTGGCAAAGAGGGGATGACAGGGAAAAGGGTCTCAGCCTGGGTGTAGGATTGGGATGCAAGGGTGGGCAGGTTAAGACCCAGCTGCTTAAATTAATGTGGCTTTCACTGCTTCATCCTAAAGCGCTAAGAGATGAGTATATATAACCCTCTGTTCTCCTGTTCGGTTTCAATCCCACAGGGTTAGCCTTTGCAATGCTCGCTGCCGTACCTCCGGTGTTTGGCCTGTACTCTTCGTTTTACCCTGTTATCATGTATTGTTTTTTTGGAACCTCCAGACACATATCCATAGGTAAAAGCTTAGAGTTGATATTTTAGTGCCGTTCTGTTTGGATTTCCCAGCTTCGCAGTGTGCCAAAGAAATAGCCTGTTTGTTATCAGAACATCCGTTTCGTAGTAATTTTGTTACTGCATACCCTCTAGGTGCTTTATAAAAATAGACTCCCCCCAGATTTCCAGAACGAATAGCTTTCTTATAATCTTGGCATAACGGGAAAAAAAAAACAAAACATTTTCTCATGTAAAAAAGAGCAATTGTTGAAATCTGGGGAATAAGTACTTTAGTTCATAATACAATTTGCTTGGATCTGGTTTTTCTTTTTCTTTTTTATTTTATTAGTGTTACTGCATGTTCCTAATTACTATGCATGTATCACATTTTCATCCTATTTGAGGCTCTGAACTATACATGACTTTTCCCAGTGTATTTAGGATAAGACTTACATGGACTTCATAACATGAAGGCTGTTCATGCATGAGGCTACCACCAGCGAACACACACACAATGTTTCCGATGTCCGGTGCTGGGTGACAAATATGCCCAAATGTAGCAGCTTAAAATATTTACTTGATTATCTTGCACAGTTCCTGTGGGTCAGGATTTGGGAAGCGCTCATCTTGGGCAGTTCTGCCTCAGGGTCTGTCATGCAGTTGAGAGTCAAAGGAGGAGCTGAAGCAGCTACTCTCTCTCTCTCTCCCTCCCCCTCCCTCCATCCTTCTCTCCACGGGGTCCTCACTGAGCTTGCTCACACCCAGCGCAAGCAAGCGTTCCATCTGAGATGGCAGTGGCATCAGCTTCTGTTACGTAGCTTCAGAAGCCTCACAGCATCACTTTCGCTGCATTGTTTTGGCGACTAGCATGTCACAAGCCCACCCAGATTCAAGGAGAGCGGAATTAGACTACCTCTTAATGGGCAGGTTCTAGAAGAGTCCATGGGATGGAAGATATCATCGTGGTCATTTTTAGGGAATACGATCTGTATGTACTCAGCTTACACGGAACCCAGGGGCGCCAGGCTGAAGAGCAGTGCAGTTTTATGTCAGTGACGCTGTATCAACCTCAGCCGGGTCTCCTTGAGAACCGGCAACAGCCAGGGAGATACACAGAAAATGATTGCCTCAATTAACGCTTCACTATTTCAGGTCCATTTGCTGTGATTAGCCTGATGATTGGCGGTGTGGCTGTCCGATTAGTACCAGATGATATAGTCATTCCAGGAGGAGTGAATGCGACCAACGGGACAGAAGCGAGAGATGCCTTGAGGGTGAAAGTTGCCATGTCTGTGACCTTACTTTCAGGAATCATCCAGGTAATAGTCACAGGTGGAGAAACGGGCTCTCATTTGTTCATTTAATAAGTATCTATTGAGCCTTCGGGGCTGGTCTATATGGTGGGCAGGGTCCAGCCAGCAGAGGTCCAGAGCTCGGGGCTCAAAGCACTCAGAACACCAGTCCCACTGCACACTTCACTTAAGTTGGTATTTATTAGGAGCTAGCAAGCGTCAGTTGGGTCCTTTAGAGATTCCAAAAGCAAGAAGAGTTTAAAGCAGGGTTGATTAGTAGTGGAAAGAAGTCCTCTCTTATCTGCTTGGAAGGAACAGGAGGTGACATTGACTCAACATGCCCCCAGTTCTGAGGACCAGGGAAAGTGTAAGTGTGCCCAGCGCCGGTGCGGGGGGCAGCGGGGGGCTCCAAGCCACTCCAAACCTTCCACTGCTTCTGTATAACAGGTGTTTCACTTGGGAGCTACTTAACTGCTGCAGAGGCAAGACTGTAGTGTTAGAAAGTGGTCCAGAAAGAACTTTTGGATGTTTTCTGTTGGTTTTCACTTCCTGGTCTATCACGTGACTTCTTTGTTTCTTTGTCATTAAAAAAAATTAGTTTTGCCTAGGTGTCTGTAGGTTTGGATTTGTGGCCATATATCTCACAGAGCCCCTGGTCCGGGGGTTTACCACCGCAGCAGCTGTGCACGTCTTCACCTCTATGTTGAAATACCTGTTTGGAGTGAAAACAAAGCGGTACAGTGGGATCTTTTCAGTGGTGTATGTAAGTAAGCTACTTCCCGACTTACTGGTTTTTCCTTCTTATTTTCCTCTCTTCTCTTCTGTATCTCTGTCACCTTCAAGGCTCACTTTTCCAAGAATTAAAATAAAATGGAAAAGATCTCATTATTCTAAGACTTTTCTGAGAACCCTACACAGAGAATTAAACCTTAAAGTCCCATTTTATTAATAGGTGATACCTCACAAGGAAGTTTTTATTAGGTCTTTATTTGGTGACTGCCCCTTCACCCCAACTGGCTGAAAAGAATGCTTTTCCTTAAGACCAAATTGTGTTCTCTTTGGGAACTAACATAATTTAAAGGCATCACGGGAGAACACGTCTCTCTCTAAAACTGCTTACTCAAGCAGGCAAAAAAAAAAAAAAATAAGTAAATCTATAAAAGATTTAACCAACACGATTACCCATCAAATCTAATAAAGTCTATGTCGACCCTTGCACCCAACTCAGAGAAAATGTAAATGATTTGCAAGCACATAGGGAACAATGGTAAGAACTGATCGTGTTGAAACTGATCACAGATTCTGAAAATTCAGTATTTTCTCACACAGTGCAGTATAATTAGCAATCGATAACTAAATATAGCTTTAAAACCCCCATACATTTGGAAAACAAAAAACCTACTTCTTAATATTCCATGGATAAAGAGGAAGTTATGAAATAACTAAAATCAAATGACAGTTAAATTCTTCGTATCCAAAGTTCTGAGATGCTGCTAAAGCTAGTCCTGGACAGAAGGACTGATGGCCTTTGCAGGTGTTTGTATGCATTTCACATGCTGGGCACAGCAGTGAGTGAGCAGATACGGCCCTTGCCTCTTGGAGCCCAAGTCCCGTGGGAAGACAGTAAACCATTAATTGCGTAAATATATAATTAATTGCAAACTGTATTGCGTGCTATGGAGGAAAGTACAGGCGGCTATGAAAGGTGAATAGGGAGACCTTTCAATTAGGGGTCTAAGAAAGTCACTATAGGGAAGTGACATTTAAATTGAGTCCTCAATGGATTAGAATGGGATCAAACTGTAGGAACATGTCCTAAATAACTAAATTCTTTCGTTTCCCATAGTAGCCGATGACCTGCTTCCTACACTGAGATTTCTCTCAGTGCCTTGTCACAAAGGAACAGAACAGATAAGCACCTGAGTATGCTCTAGGCATCAACAGGCAAGGTGTGTAGCCTGGGCTCAGTGTTGCCCACTCTCCCAGGGGCCAGATGAGTACTGACCATATTTGGGGTGCTGAGGCTGCAACCCTAGGATAAAAGTAGGAGACTTTCTTTTTCTTTTTTAAAGATTTTATTTATTTATTTTTGCGAGAGGGAGAGAGAGAGAGAGATAGAGCGAGTGTGAGAACACGAACGGGGGAGGGGCAGAGGGAGAAAAACTCCCCCCTGAGCAGGGAGCCCGATGTGGGGCTCGATCCCAGGACCCTGAGATCATGACCTGAGCCGAAGGCAGATGCTTAACCGGCTGAGCCACCCAGGTGCCCTGGAGACTTTCTTTTCTAACTCTCCTGGGCTTTGTCCAAACTTCAGCACTCTCTTGCCTTCGAAGTGTACCTGGTCCCTTTTTCATCTGCTAACTATGACTTCTTTCTCCCCCTTTCGCCTCCAAAAAAAACTTTTCTGTGTATTTACCTTTGCATTATTTTGCTGATATCAACCCCTAATCTTTCGTCATGCTCAGAACTCAGCTTAAGGGGTACTTTTCTGAATAGGATAATACTACACTGAGCCATTACCCAATCAAAGAACACCGTAATATAAGATTGTTGGGTAACAGTTACCACTACAGGGGTGCCTGTGTGGCTCAGTCTGTTAAACGTCTAACTCCTAATTTCAGGTCAGGTCATGCTCTCAGCGTCATGAGATTGAACGCAGTGCGGAGTCTGCTTGGGATTCTCTCTCTCTCCCTCTCCCCTTCCCCTGCTCACTCGTTCATGCTCGCTCTCTCTAAAAAAAATAATAATAATAATTAAAACTATAAAGTTATATGATGGGGTAAAAATGCCTCCTAATTAGTGGGAGAGAGTTCGGTCTGAGAACTTTTAACTCGGAATGCGCAGCGATGGGACGGCTGGTGTGTATTAGCACCCTAGTGTGTCTGTCTATCCAGGGGCCGCTGCTTGATGTAACATCCAGTGTTCCTTGTGTTACAGAGTACAGTTGCGGTGTTGCAGAATGTTAGAAACCTCAACGTGTGTTCTCTAGGCGTCGGGCTGATGGTTTTTGGTTTGCTGTTGGGTGGCAAGGAGTTTAATGAGAGATTTAAGGAGAAATTACCTGCACCCATTCCTTTAGAGTTCTTTGCGGTAAGTCAACTTTGGCCACAGATGCCTGGCTATTTTGGTGAGGGATTTAGACAGGGGAGGAACAGGGAGTTCTACCTTTTTTCTCCCAGTTCTGCCAAGAGAAGAGTAGAATGTGTCAAGGGGAACTTTCACAAATATGCTAAAAGAAAGGAAATCTATGAGAGTGTAGACGGGGATGATTTTCAAAGTCGAGGTGAAGGCCATCCGTAAAAATTGTAATATGAATCATCTCTGAGTGATGAGATTATGGAAGATTTTTCTTCCTCAAAATTTGTATTGACTAATTGTTTTATAATGAACACCTACAACTTTAATAACCTGAAAAAATTAAGCTGTTTCCATTTTGAAAAGAGCAAGAGACAAAGTTCCCAGACTTTCTTGGTTCCTGGCGCTCCTAAGCCAAAAGAAATACCTAAGAGTATTAAGTAGTTAATACATATTTACAACTTACTACGTATTTACATCTCACAGCTTAGGAACTATTGTAAAAATAATGCACATGCAATGAACTACTATATATTCTATTACGTTCTTAAATGACTACAACGGTTTATTGACAACAGTACCTTATGATTGGTTTCCTGCAGCCGCCATTACAGTGAGGACTGGCTCCCTGCCCTGGCCAGCCCTCCTTCTCCCCTGGTATGACCCACTCAGAAAGTTCGATAGCAAGATGAAGAAACTTGCTTCTCCTTCTGTTATTTTTTCCATTGCTCGTCAGTAAGGGCTGTACTTTACACACCTGCTGAATCTGTGCCCTGACCATCCAGGGAGGCTCACGCACAGATTCGGTGACCCCGAGTGTAGCTGAGCGGGGAGACCGCTGTGGGGCCGGTGGAGGCCTCTAACCACAGCTAGTGCTGCTGACGCGGACAGGGGTCAGCAGAAAGACTGGGGGACCAAACGTACATTTTCTAATGACACACTGTCAATGCACCACCCTCACAGTGCCCTCTCCAGCGTCCCTTGTTCATGCCATCGTGGTGAGAAGGGCAGAGGCCTCTCCTGGAAGGTCTTAGGGCTCTTCCTGTTTGCAGTCAGCTGGCCAAACACCTCCAGCAGGGAACAGAACAAAATAAAGAGTAAAGAACGCCAGGCCACGAGGCAATTTTGTGGGGAAAGAGCCATCAGGAGAAGTTAGAAATGCTAGCGGCTAACTATAATTCTGTTTCTTTTTTTTTTTTTTT